GGAGCACGGCAGCCCCCGGCGGGGGTTGGGGGGGATCTGGGGCTTGAAGGGAAGCCTGATGCTGAGTGGGTTTGTGACGGGGCGGCCAGGAGGAGCTCCCAGTGAGCCAAGTCCCACGTGCCGTGCGTGTGGCCAGTCTGCTGAGTGAGGGGGAAGAACTGTCTGGGGACGAGGACCAACCAGATGAAGATGAGGATGACCACGCCTATGAGGGCGTCCCCAAGTGAGTGTCCACTCTTCTCCAGTGGCTGTCCCACCTGGCCACCCTCCTTTCCCAAGTGTTACCAGCCACTCCATCTCCTCAGCCCCTGCCCCATAGAAGCCCCCATCCTGGGCTCCCTCATTCCTTCTCTTCTTTCCCAAGTGGTGGATGGCACAAGAGCAGCCTGAACTCATCCCTGCCCAGCAGCCTCCTGATCCCCGAGCTCCCACCACACCCCATGGACGGGCTCCCCGGGGGCTCCACCCCCATCACACAGGTCATCAAGGCTGGCTGGCTGGACAAGAACCCACCGCAGGGGTGAGTGATGCCTGTTAGGTCTTGCTGGTTCTCTGCATGAGGATGGAGAGTATTCTATACTGGATCCAAAAAACAGGCCAAGGTTATTTGAGCAGCTCTCTCCAAGCTGACTGTACCAGTCAGTCATGCTCACCAGACCTATGTTTTATTACCCTTAAAATTGGGAAGTCCTGGGGCGCCTGGGTGGCTCAGTCGGTTAAGCATCTGACTTTGGCTCAGGTCATGATCTCACAGTTCATGAGTTTGAGCCCCACGTTGGACTCTGTGCTGACAGCTCACAGCCTGGAGCCTGCTTCGGATTCTGTGTCTCTGTGTCTCTGCCCCTCTCCTGCTTGTGCTCTGTCTCTCTCTCAAGAATAAATAAACATTAAAAAAATTCTTTTTAAGTTGGGAAGTCTTACTTTGAGTCTGACTTCTATCATTCTTGCTATAGGTAAAGTCCCTTTTCTCAGTGGCCATTTGGGTTCCTTCCTCCCTTGAACCTGGCTATTTCTAACTTTGTATGTGGCTGCGAGAGGGGGCGGGGGTAATCTTGGAGCCTCTCCTCTAATCCCCAGTCCTTTGCTCTGTTTTCCCTCTGCCTCTGCTTCTCCAGATCTTATATCTATCAGAAGCGATGGGTGAGACTGGATGCCGATCATCTGAGATACTTTGACAGTAACAAGGTGAGGCCCATGTTGGTCCCTGACAGGACCCCTGCTCCAGCCTGGCCCTAGGCTGACCCTTGACACTAGGCTTGGGTGGAGTCCTTCCCCAGACCAGACCTCACTAGAGCTCCAGTCTGACTCCTTGAACCGTGTCTTCCTCGCCCATTGGCCTGCTGTGGGCCGTGGTCAGGGTCAGTGTCAGGGCTATCCCTCATCACCTGTGGGGCACGGGGCTGTAGCTAATATTTGTGTCATCTAAAGTCAAGGGAACCAAGGAGTTCTGAACCACAGTACAGCTTCCCTCTCTCCCCAGGACGCCTACTCTAAGCGCTTTATCTCTGTGGCCTGCATCTCCCGCGTGGCTGCCATTGGGGACCAGAAGTTTGAAGTGATCACGAACAACCGGACCTTTGCCTTCCGGGCAGAGAGTGATGGTGAGGGGTAGGGCTGGGAGAAGATTGGCAGCTTGGCCTGGTAAGTGGAGGGAGGAGAACCAGGGCACATCTGCTCCCCCTGCATCAAACCCAGAGAAGAGTCCATCTTCTATGAGGTGGGAGAGAGAAGGGGACACTGTGTGGCTCTGTGTTTGAGACACCCACTGAGAACCATTTATTTCCATTTGCAGGGGAAATAGGTTCAGATAGGCGAAGTGGCTTGTCCAGCGTAGGTGGCACAGCTGAGATTGGAGCCTGAGCTTGTCCAAGTCCAAGAACTCACAGATAGTCAGAAATGGGTGGGGTGGTCTGGGTGGGCTTGCTGGCGGAGGTGCTGCCTGAGGAGCCTGGAATAGAGAACCTTAGGGGGCTCCCTGCCAGGCTGAGCTCAGGCCTACTCTTTCCCCTTGGCCTGCAGTGGAGCGGAAGGAGTGGATGCAGGCCCTTCAGCAGGCGGTGGCTGCTCAGTATGCCCGGGCCCAGCTGTCTAGCGCTTATCCGTTGGGTATTCGAGGCTCAGAGCCACCTGACCGTGCTGGCAGCCTGGAACTACGTGGTTTCAAGAATAAACTGTATGTGGCCGTGGTTGGGGACAAAGTGCAGCTGTACAAGAATCTGGAGGTGCGAAGGAGTCAGCCAGATTGCTAAACCCCTCCCCTGCTCCCTGCCTACTTGGTCCCTCAGCCTGCCCAGCACCCACCGTGGCCCCTCAGCCTGCCCCTGCCCCCCGCCACCCCCTGATCCCTCAGCCTGCCCCATGCCCCCTGCCCACCCTGG